TTAACACTATCAGTAGCTCGTTAAGGACGATAACCCCCCTCCCCCTCCTTTCCCCAACACCTACCACCCCACCCCGTGAAAGTAAACTCCTCTTAGTTACCTCCCCTAAGTTTAAAATCGTTTCAAATTAAATTATCTGCCCCTAATAGCTGTCACTAAACCCGGCTCTACTATTGTAAACATTTAGCGTGAACCACAGCTCAGCAGACCATGTAGGGGTGGGGGTGGTAGGGAGCGCGCTTACAGCTTGGTGTTTTCTATCGTCTCCAAGAAGAGAATTATATATATATATATATATATATATATATAGATTATTCTAGGAAGTTTGTGGAAGATAACTCTCGCTTTATGTATTAATGTTTTAATACTTAAATTTTTACTTTCTCGTATATATAGCAGAGTTTCTTCCAGGCATCTCTTCGGGGGAGGGGGAGTGGTTGTTCCCCCTCCTCGAAGAAAGTCTACCGCCCCCCCCCCCCTCAAACGAAATGGAATTTCTATAGAAAATATATACTTTTAACTGCAGTGGCTTAGGCAGGGGGGGGGGGTTAGGGGGGTCATAACCACCCCCCCCATAGACCCCTCGGTATATATATAAAAAGTATGAGGGGGGGTGCAAATCGAAAGTTTGAGGGGGGGGGGTGCAAATCGAAAGTTTGAGGGGGGGGGTGCAAATCGAAAGTTTGTCCCCGGGTAAAAATTGGAACCCCCCCCCCCTTGAGACGATCCTGGCTACGCCACTCTTTAACTGTGTCCGCCCCTCCCCCCCCCACAAAAACGACGGAAATGATTTACGAACCACCAGTTCTTAGATTACATGTTTAATGTTCTGTCACGTTTTCTTACTCTCCCACCTCTCCTAGCAATTGAACAATCGGCACCAAAGTCGGAACCCCCTCATAGCATTTAATGTACTAACACTACAAAAAGACGCTTCATGTAATTATCTTAAAATATGCTTGCAGAATTAAATATCTCGACTCAACTACACCTCTGTTATAAGTATTTAAAAACAACACCCCTGAAGTAGTCTTGAAACTAGTCGACTGAAAAGTAAATCAAAATAATTTATATTCTATATTTATAAGTGGTGAATAAGAATGGAAAATAATTGTAATTAGGAACAAAAGGTGTTTCAGAAATAAAAATAGTTGCACCGTTTCCTGCCGTTCCTTATACTTTGCCGTGTAAGACATATTAATTTCCAGAAAAAAAAATGTGTTCTTTTGTGCAATGCTGAGCTCAATTCGAAAATCACGATGTTGGCATTTCCAGTTGAATAGCTTAAATAATTAAACGATAGGTAATAACTGATATATTGAAAAGAATTTAATTTCCACTTAAATTAACTGTAAATTAATACTTAATTACGGACATAGATTAATCGAGTCCCTAATGAGCTTATACCAACCGTCTGACTGGCTCTATTTTTGCCAGATATTTAATTAGAGTATTTTTTTTTATTGCATATTGGGTCCTTGGTTAGTCTATCAATATTTTCTTCCACCAAGCTGCCCTTCTGCACTTGTGTATCAAACGACTGTAGCCGACCAGACCTGCCCAGTAGCTATACTGTCAACAGCGGAACTCATCAATTATATTTAAAATATAATAATATTTTTAAGGAATCATTGCTAAAACTACACAAGTTACAGATTACCATAACCTGCAAATAAATCTGCTATAGAAAAAAATGAAATCTAAATCAAGTATTCATAAAAAGCATTTTAAAACTAGATCTTATTTAAATTGTATCATGCATAATATGTTTTGTAATCATCAATGAAATTCTATTTTAAGTAACAAAACAAATATAAATCCACACATACTTATATTCTGTGATGCTGAAGTATTAATGTTGGACATGTATAATTTTGAGCACGATGAGGCTTAATTACAGGTTTTTGCCTTTTTTCGAACTAGGACGAAGCAACAAGGCAAAATCATTATTTCTGCTGAAAAGCCTGAGTGGACTAGCCACATCCTTTGGTACAACTCAGCTGAAACCAGGATTGACATCACTTTTATTAAATCACCAAGGATCAAAAAACGTGTCACCATCAGTAGTAAAAAGTACAAACGTTCCCCTGACAGACAATCAACAGCTCCATACAAAGGTTTCTCACTTGCTTTCAGCATTTAGGCAAGTGAAAAACATCATGTCACAGGTACAGACACAAACCATCAGACCAACCACACAGACAAATACACACAGTAGTCACAATCAGAACCAGTTAGTACACTTAGGTCAGCAAACAGATGGAGGCATTACTTTAGCACGTCTACAGGCTCAAGTACCGGCTAATACGCTGCATCAGCCCAACACAGCTGGACATTATACAATCAATTCAAATTTGACACAATATGAAACGGGCGTTTTTGTCACAATTTCTCCGGCCCATTTAGAAAGTCCTACATCAAATCTAGCAAGCCTAGACGTGGTGATGCCTCGCATTGAGCTGTCCCAACAACCCAACATAATTGATGTCAACTACCCGCCTAAAATACCTCCTAGCACACACACTTCTGATCCTGATCTACATAAAGCTGAGCTCATTACTACCATAAAAATGCTGAGCAACGAAATTAAAATGCTAGCACAAGCCGATGGAGCTAATGTGCCCTCTATTACTGGTAAAATTACAGACAATTCAAACTTAGTATCAAGTAGTCGAGAAACTCCTAGTTCATTTTTTCTTAGGGCTGCGCCAACGTATGGCTTACCAGGTGGTGGTGCTTTGGGAAATGGGAACATTTTTGCTAGAAACATTGCATCAGATGTAGCCATTAACTCACAGCTGGGGTTGGGACTCGGTGCTATGTTTACGTCTGACCAAAACATTCATACAGTCAATCTTATGAATGACATGTCTGTTGTACCGTCGAACGCACCATACGAGATGTATTCATCCAATTCTTTTAATTTTGGTTTACCCCATATTTCAAACACGAGAGTTGATGCGGTTGTGCCGTCACCTGAGGCTATTGCCCTGGAGCAGCACCTTGATTTTGTTTCTAATTTCACCATTCCAGATTATGCTGCTGGTCAACCAAAACCCGCCACTAGCGTATCGAACCCGGCCACTTTGTCTTTATTATTAGGTAAACTTGCATCTAAATTAGCTCCTGCCACTAATGGCAAAGCCAGTCCTGAAATGCTAAACCCAGCTGCGATCAATGTTCAAAAATATTCTCGTTCAAGATGGGATGGTGTTTTAGACCTATCGCCTCAGCAGCAGCCCTCCTTACAGCAACGCCAATGGGTACAGCCCCCAGTGTTAGAATACAAACAGCATAGCTCTCAAATGGGCATACAACAATATTTACCACAACCTTTGCAGCAAGGACAATCAGTTTTGAATGAAACACACGAACATTTCCAACAAACACCAATAGTTCCCCAAGAATGGTTGTCGTCATCGCGAGATGTAAGATTTCAAACACCACAGAACTTCCATTATAATAGGCAGGAATGGACTAGCACGCCACTTCAAGACACGAATTATTCACATCAAAAGACAAAAACCATCGTAAATAGTAGTATGCAAAAAAGCTCAATCTACGAATCGCCTAATCAGCAAACCACAGAGGCCCCACATATAAATGCAGGAGGCAAGAAAGTCATTTTATTGTGCTCGACACTATATCTTGCATGTGTCATATGTGCATGCTTTTCTTAAGGATTTTTAGGTTTTCTTGCACGAACTAACAATGCGGGTAGCGAGGTTTAATTACCGTATGTATATAACAAAAGCGACAAAGAATAAAAAAAAACACAAGAGGAAACACATTTAGATTGTTACTCATATTTGTTTGTAGGTGATAGTCAAATAAACTAGTGTAAAATATGTTAATATAAATGAATGTCATTAAAATGAAAGTTTAAAATTGCTCCAGGTTTAATTTAATAACGTCAGTGTCATAATCATGCAGTACTTGTGTATATCTATCACATGCAACAATTTGAAAAGCGTAAAAACATCTCGCTCCCTTCAATATTCAGGATTTTAAAATAATTGCAATGGAACAACAAAGGATCTCAAGCTCAAAAGCTCACTTTTCTCAAAAGTAGAAAACGTGACCGTTGTGGTTTATTCCCTGTAATCTTCTCTCTCTCTCTCTCTCTTTTTCTTACACACACTCGTACACACACACACATATATATATATATATATATATATATATATATATATATATATATATATATATATGGCTATCTTACGTTAAAAGTTTGCTAGTTTGCATTATTATTTGATTGACTAATGGAAGACTTATCCAGTTTCCAGTACGTTCTGACCTTGTTAGTTCACTTTGCACATTTATACAATGTTTGGCATTTATTTTACAAATCACATACATCTAGTATTTAAAAACTGTTCTTATTTAAAATTTAACTAATATTATTTATCTTAACATATCCCTAGTCTTAACCCCGGATCTTTCTTGATTCTAGCATGAGATCTTACCTAAGAAAAGAGTGATCCTTTTTTATCAGTGACAGGAAAATGCAGTAAACTTATAATCTAGATATCCTTATGTCTTTATGTAATTAACAAACAAATCATAATTCGGTACAATTTAAATTACAATTACCCTGTATGGAATTTATCTTTAGCCTTATCTGTTACTAGAATAGAAATTCCCCAACCCCTCGCAAAAAAGCCCTATATATATATATATATATATATATATATATATATATATATATATATATATATATATATATATATATATATATATATATATATATATATATATATATATATATATATATATATATATATATATATATATATATATATATATATATATCTATATCTATATATATATATATATATATATATATATATATCTATATCTATATATATATATATATATATATATATATATATATATATATATATATATATATATATATATATATATATATATATATATATATGGTGGACCGGCCAAAGTCCGAATTAGAAGATTATCTGGCTAGGGACGACCGGCCGAAGTCAGAATTCGAAGATCGTGAGCAGACTTGGTTTTTTTACAAGCTTTTATTTAACTCACTTCCTCTGTCGTCAGTCTAGATCGATGGTTCGTAGCGATTTTTTCTCAATGCCGACGGACGAGCATACAGTTGTTTTAGAACACCACGCTCCGTTTTTAGCTTGTAGAAAGCTCCCTCGACTCTCACGGCAACTGCAATGACGCTTCGGGGATCGCCGCGACCTCTGTCAACATCTTGAATAGGGATGCGAATATAATCTCCCACTTCAGCTTGTTTAAAATGTGTATCTGATTTTGTTAGCATCTTAGCATCTTGAGTATGCAAGCTAGTATGAGCTGTTGACCTGTTGTCCATGATGTCTTGTTTATTGTGACGTAATCTGCAAGTAATGTTCCCTCTGTACCTTCCGTCTGCTTCATTGGCTATTCCGAAAATTGCATGGGCTGCACTACAGTATTTTTCACAAACTACACATAATCTGTTGGCCTTATTATTGTCACGCAATTGGCCTGGACGTTCCACCACGGCAGCACATTTGTTAGCTGTGGATATCGAGAGCCTCTCTTTGTATATTTGAAGTGCTAAGTCCGACTTTTGCTTTGCATCCAAACAAGGCTTTGTATGGCGATTGTTGGATTCCTTGATGAAAAGAAACGTTTTTCATAAATTGAATGAATTTGAGACTCTCGGCCAATTGAGCTGATTCATTTGTTTGATCATGATCCTTGCAGTAAAAAAAAAAATCTGCTCATGATCTTCTAATTCGGGCTTTGGCCGGTCGTTCCTAGCCAGATGATCTTCTAATTCGGACTGGCCGGCCAAAGGCTGAAATCAAGAGCCATTTCAGACTTTGGCCGGTCCACTATAGCCAGTCCGCGGATAGACCGGCCAAAGGCCGAAATCAAGTAAAGTTTCGGACTTTGACCGGTTAATGGGAGGCGATATTGGCCAATTCTTGCTTTGGCCGACTTCGGGCTTTGACCGTAACATATATATATATATATATATATATATATATATATATATATATATATATATATATATATATATATATATATATATATATATATATATATATATATGAAAATCAAGATTATTTTATTTAAAAAACGCACCCTAACTCGCGCAATACCATAAATCACAACCCTAACTTAACCCCACATAACACCACCTGTCCCGCACCCCCTCCCCTACCAACACGACACATCCAACTCTTCATCACAACACAACAGAAAGCTCATCCTATTAACCACACGATCAACTCAGGGGCGTAGCGACCCGGCTAGCCGCCAGGGGTTAACTTTCAATTTGACACCCCTATATGTATGTATATGTTACCGGCAAGGTTTAAAAACCTGCATTCTGTAGAATACCTAGTCAATGTATACAAAGCTGTAAATGGGACATCAAAATATAAAATACATCATATTTCCATCATATTCCAGTATTTTCTAGCCATTCTATAGAGTACCCAATAAAAACAGGTAGAGTGTAGAATACCCTTTCTCGCCACAACCTGCGCCATCTGTGTTATATTTAGCGTTAGGGTTATAGTTAAATTCAAAATGCCATTCTAGACTTTCGTGTGTTTAACTGTGTGTATGAGGGCAGGGGCGTAGCGAGGGGGGGGGGGTGCGGGGGGTGCGGACCGCACCGGGTGACACCATTTAGGGGGGTGACACCAAGGCAAAAAATAGCAAAATATATAGAGAAAAAAATTGAGGGGAGGGGGGTGCAAATCGAAAGTTTGAGGGGGGTGCAAATCGAAAATTGAAAGTTTGTCCCCGGGAAGGGTCGCTACGCCTGTGGGGGGTGACACCATTAAGTGCCGCACCGGGTGACACCCGACCTCGCTACGCCACTGTATGAGGGTATGTATATGAGCGCATGTACATGAGTGATTTAGTGTATGTCTCAGTGTGTGTATCAGTGTGTATAAATGTCTGTCAGTTTATGTGGGTGTGTGTGGGGGGGGGGCGATATGGACTAGGCTCTTTTTTTCCTGCATAGTGCCTTTGAAGTATGCTGTAGGAAGAAAGCGCGTTTGCAAATGATGATGCAACATTTGATATAAAAACTATTATTGAGTCATTTAAATGAAATACTGCAAGGAAAACCAAGCAAAATCTTTATTCTCAGTAGAGACAAATACTGTGCTTTCATAGAGGAGGTTAAACAGATGAAAGAAACTGTTCACTATCCTCGACTAAACAATTTGATGTTTCTGAAGTTGACGGCAAAGAAAAACTAAATGTCATAAAAGTGCATGTTGGTCTATCAAGTGCTAATCAGAATATCAAGTGCCCTTCCCCCCCCCCCCCCCCCTCGCCCCCCCCCCCCCCCCGGAGAAAAAAGTTTTGAGGAAACACTGGTGATAATATAAACTGGAAATATTGTACAGTATAATTATTTGAATTATTTTGCCAATTAATTTAATTAATAAGCAATAAAGACCTACTTTCATGATCAGAACATTAAACACCCAAAATCTGTTCTAGATCTTCTTATTCGGACTTTATGGCGGTCACCCTTTAGATAGTCCCCGGACTAGCCGGCCAATGTAAGACATCAAGAAAATGTCGGACTTAGTGCCGGTCATTGGAGGTGATTCTTAGCCACTGCGCACATTGGCTGA